GGCGGTCCGTGCACAGGAACAATCCCACCAGGGTCCGGCCGTCCGACATTCGGATGCGGAGGCTGCGGTTGAGCAGCGCCTCGAGCCGCTGCCGCCCCCGGGGGGGCCCCGAGACCCCCGGCCCGGGATCCTGGGGAGGGTGGGGAAGGGGTGAGACCCCCCCCCCAAAATCCCCGGGATGGGGCTTGGGAAGATTGGGGGAACGCCGGTTCTTATGGACCCCCAAAACCTTCCCCTAATCCTTATGGACCCCCTAAAACCTCCCTCTAGTCCGTATGGACCCCCTAAACCTTCCCCCAGCCGTTATGGAGCCCCCAAGTCCTCTGAGATCCCCCTATAAACCCCCCCAGTACCCCCCACGACCCCTCTGAAGCCCCCCTGCCCCACTCAGAAACCCCCACGAGCACCCACAGCCCCCCGATATTTCCCCTCAGGACCCCGGAATCGCCTCCCATGAATCCCTATGGCCCCCACGGCGTCTAGATCCTCCCACCACCTCCTCCTCCGGTCCCCCTGGGATCCATAGGGCAGCTGTGCCGTCCCTACAGCCCCCCCAAATCCCTCAAATCCCGTACAGCGCCCCCAAATCCCCTACAGCGCCCCCCACTCACGGCCGGGCCGCCCCCCGCCTCCTCCGGCGGATCCGCCATGATGGCGCCGCGGCCCAGGGGGCGGAGCCAGGCACTACGACTCCCGGCGTGCACCGCGCGCCGCCGGCAGCAATAGCGGGTACCGAAGCAGTGACTACATTTCCCAGCGTGCATCGCGCGGGAACAGCGGCCCGCATTGGCGAGGACTACGTCTCCCAGCGCGCCCCGCGGCGCGCAGAGCAGGGATTTCCGGCAGCGTTGCCATGGCGACGGGCGGCGCGGGCTCGGCGGCGACCCCGGGCCTGGCCTGAGTGGCCCCGAGGTGCGGGGGGGCCCTGAGGGGCTGGGGGGGGCTCAGGAGGGACCTGGGGGGAGGTGGGGGGGTCGTGGGAATGGGAGGAGCCGGGAGTCCCCTTTTTTTGGGGGGGGGTCTCTCTTCCGTGACCCCCGTAACCCAGGAGCAGCCCTCCTGGGGGCCGCGGGTAATGACGTCATCCCCACAGAGAGGGGTCAGGGGTCCCAAACCCCTCTCCCCCCCCCATTAGGGGCTCACCGCCCCCCCCACACTTTGGGGGTCACCAGGACCCCCCCCAATTTGGGGGTCCCCCCCTCGTCTCCCTTTTGGGGGGGTCCCTTGGCCCCTGGGGGGGTCTCCCCTGTCCCCATGGGGGTCCCTCATCGATTTTGGGGTCCCCAGGGGGAATCCCCCCCCGATTCTGGGGGCAAACTTTGGACTTTTGGACTTTTTGGAGGCAAAATAAATCGGATTTTATCAGAGCAAGGCGCAGCGGAGCCTCGGGGGAGGGGACACATTTGGGGACACATTTGGGGACAATCCCCAGCCGTGGGGTGACAGTGGGGGGAGGGTCCATCACACTCGTGCCGTGTCCTGTCCCCCGCCTTGGGGGTGGCTTTGGTGTCCCCCCAGAACACGAGGTGACAGCAGGTGACACTGGCCGGGGGTGTGGCAGCGGCTGTTTGTCCCCGTGGGTGGCTGCCAGCCCCTGGCACTGTCACCTGTGACACGGTGACCCCACAGCTGTCACCTGTCCCTGTGTCTGTCTGTGTCACCTGTCCCTGTGTCTGTGTCACCTGTCCCTGTGTCTGTCTGTGTCACCTGTCCATGACCCTGTCCCAGGTGGTGGCAGGTGACCACAGGCTGCAGGTGGTTGGGTGACACTGTCACCATCTGACGGTGACACCACGGTGACACCACGTGTGGCAGTGCCACCCTCCTGGAGTCCCGGGTTGTCACTCAGGGGGGTGTGACAGTGACAAAGGGCTGGAAACAGCCCGGGATGGCCGAGTGACACGGTGACAGCCCCAGCGACACGGTGACACCGAGAGTGACACGGTGACAACCCCAGTGACACGGTGACACCGAGAGTGACACGGTGACAGCCCCAGTGACACGGTGACACGGAGAGTGACACGGTGACAGCCCCGGTGACACGGTGACACCGAGTGTGACACGGTGACACCGAGAGTGACACGGTGACAGCCCCGGTGACACGGGGGTGGCCTGAGGGCTGCGAGGAGCAGCAGAGCCACCAAACCCAGGGAAAACGGGGAAAAAAACCCCAAAAAACACCCCCCAAAAAAATCCCCTTGGGGAAAGGGTCGGGGGGACAAAAGCCACAAACGGCCCCAAAAATGTCACCTCAGGGATTTGGGGGGGTCGCTGGGGGTTCTTGGGGTGTCACACGAGGGAATTTGGGGGAATTTTGGGGTTCTTGGGGTGTCACGTGAGGGTTTTGGGAGGAATTTGGGGGAAATTGGGGGAATTTGGTTTTTTTTGGAGTGTTACACGAAGGTTTGGGGACATTTTGGGGGGATTTTGGGGTTCTCGTGGTGCCACACAAGAGTTTGGGTGGAATTTGGGGGGAATTTGGGGGTTCTTGAGGTGCCACTCTGGAGTTTTGGGGACATTTTGGGGGGATTTTGGGGTTCTCGTGGTGTCACATTGTGGTTTTGGGATGAATTTGGGGGTTCTTGGGGTGTCCCATGAGGATTTTGGGGTCGCTGGGGGTTCCTGGTGCTGGCTGACAACAACCAGGAGCAGTTTTTGGATTAAAAAAAAACTCAAATAAGGTAAAACTCCCAAACTTTGAGTTTTTACCCCATTTTTCATCATTTTGGGGTAAAATCTGCTGCCCCCAATGTACCAACCTCAGAGTTTTGGGGCAAAAAAAGCCCCAAAAAGGAACGGGAAATTAAAAAAAAAAAAAAAAAGAAAAAAAAGTCAATAAAGCTCCAGGAGTGGAGGAGGGGCAGGCAAGGCCTGGGGGTTTTGGGGTGATTTTGGAACATTTTGGGCAACTTCACCCCCTAAAAAATCTCATTGATGACAAATTCACCCATTTCACCCCTGGGGTTTTTTTGTGGGGGGAATTTAAACCTTTTTTTCTCCCCTTTTGAATATTTTCTTTCTCCTTTTTCAATTTTCCCCCCTTTTTCAATATTTTTTTTTCTTTTTTCATTCTTTTTTCCCCTCCCCTTTTGTTAATTTGCCCCTTTTTCAATTTCCCCCCCCCGTTTTTCTTTAATATTTTCTTCTCTTTTTTGAATCTTTTTCCATCTCTTTAATTCTTTTCAAATCTTTTCCCCCAATTTTGATTCTTGTGCACTTTTTAAAGTATTTTTCCTGGCTTTAATATTTTTCCCTGTTTTGAATCTTTTATCCATTTTTTTATCTCCCCCTTTAATACTTTTCCCCTTCTTTCAAGGTTTTCTCCCTTTTTAAATCTTCTTTTCCTTTTTTCAATTTTTTTTTTTTTTTTTTTTTATATTTTCAACTTTACTTTCCCCACTTTTCATCTTTTTTCCCTTTTGATTATTCTTCCCCTTTTTCAAGCTTTTTTCCTTTTCATCTTTTTTTCCTTCTTGAACGTTTTTCCTTTTTAATATTTCTCCATTTTTCAATATTTTTAGAAGCTTTTTTCCCTTTTTGAATACTTTTCTCAATTTGAACATTTTTAGAACTTCCATCCTTTTTAATATTTTCCCAATTTCACCCTTTTTGAGTATTTTTTTTCCTTTTTCAATTTTTTCCCTTCACAATTTCTTCTTTTTTCCATCTTTTTTTACCTTTTCCCGTCCTTTTTCAATCTTCTTCTCTAATCTTTTTAAAAATATTTTTTCTTTAAACCTTTTTTCTTTTCTAACCATTTTTTCCTTTCTCAACATTTTTCATTTTTAAAAATCCTTTTCCAATATTTTTTGTTCTTTTTAATTTTTCCCTTTTTCCAATCCCTTTTCCAATCTTTTTTTCCTTTTTAACCCTTTTTCCATTTTTCAATTTTTCCCTTTTCAGTCTTTTTTCCCCCTTTTTCAATCTCTTTCATTTTCCAATATTTTCCTCTTTTTAATCTTTTCCCCCTTTTTTCTTTTCCCTTTTCCAATTTTTCCCCCCATTTTCAATCTTTTCCCCTTTAAAATCTTTTTCATTCCTTTTCAATCTTTTTTATTCTTTTTCAATCTTTTTAATTCCTTTCCCAATCTCCCCCTTTCCCAACCTTTTTTAATCCCACCTCCATCTTTCCAACCCTTTCCTCAACCTTTTTTTTTTTTT